TCTAGTATTAGATCAATGATCTAAGGACAGTGTAGATTCTCAGACCATGTTCGATTCAATTTATCCAGGCATATCTAGTGAATTGGCCGAACAAGAAGCCTATTCAACGAGGAAGTGCTGGCTGTCCTGAGCTTTTTATCTGGGGTGTTCATTCGATCCCCTCACATTTTTCTCTATTCCTCACTTTGGACCAAGTTTATTCTTCACTTAACAACCCGCTGACCCCACAGAACCGCCCTGCTGACCTTCTTACCAGCCTCCCCCCATCGTTTCTCACCTTCTTCACAACTTTTTATCAGTTCATCTCTTTCCTCCATACTCCAATATTTCATCGCGCCTTTCAAATATTGTTAAAAAGCTATCATTATTGCATGATAAAACACCTGAATTGCTTTCTCAAGAGAATCTAGTTGTTTTTATTTCTTTTAGCCTGAAATGCAGCCTGAAATGGGCTTTGCAGTGAGAGAAGGGAGCGAGGCATCTGAACTGTCTGCTTCAGATTGTGGCACCTCTCCCTTCAGTCGAGGCCCCAGTGGTGTAGACTCTGGGTACTCTGGCTTTACGACCCCGGGGTCTACTGGAGATGGGAGTCAAGTTGCACAAGCGCTGGCTGAGAAGAATCGAACTTTGTTGGGTGAGTATTTTTCCTCCATCGATGCTTCAACTATCGCTAACTGCAATGCAAAATAGAACTCGGCCCTTATTCAGAAGCCAATATCTCAGAATTGAACGACCAATGCCATCGTAAGTGCTACAGTCACTATCCCCTTTTTATCTTTCGTCTTGCCCTGTTTGGTCTTCTTGAGTTAAGCATGTTTCTACTCTTTCTAGACGATGGCCTTCCGGACAAATTCCATACTTGCCCACATCCATATCATTCGTCCTATAATGAAGGCAACCTCCCTTTGCTCCTCTTTATGTTGGAGCCCCCCGAACAGAGTCATTCTGAGCCTGTCGGACATTTGATGGAGAATGGGCGGCCAGTTCTCGATTTCCAAGGCAATCCAGTGCGAAACTTTCCCTTTCTGCCACGGTATATTTCTGTCAAGCCTACTGGATGGCTCATCGAATTTTGGATGCGGTCCGACACCCGTCTCACTTATCGTGACATTAAGGCACGCATGCCAGTTGCAAAGGCAGAGCTCCCGTCTGATAACGTTTTGAATATGAGACGTGAACGCGATGCCCGCAAACCACTGGGCTTGTCTTGTTGGACAGCTCGCCGTGGTGGCGTTACCAGGGCTGAAATCGAACGTGTTGAGCTGCTATCCCCTGAAAATGTCGCATATAACACAGCTCTCAAGGTGCGATGCGACCTTCAGCCCCCCGTGCTTGAATCAAGATCATTTTATCCGCATGCGACTCCGCAGTATTATCCATTCGATACTTTCTTGGATGGCAGCAAGCAGCTCCATACTCCAGGACGCCGATTGGATGATAGTATTCAGCTCCTATTTGAACTTCAGGTCTTGACTACTGATCTTGGAGTAGATGATTGGAGAAAATTACCAGAAAGCAAGTTGCCTGAATGGTGGGCCAGAAGCAAAGGCAAGGGTAATGCTGAGCTGAGCAGCACAAATCAGAGTCAACAATCTTCCCAAGTTGGATCAGTGTTTTCGACACCTAAATCAAGCTCCAAGCGCCGAATGAGTTGGAGGACTCCCCAGAAGTCTGTATTATCAACTGTTTGCAATGGTCAAGCTTTTGGAGGTTTCAAAACACCTGAAAAAAATTTCGCAAATGCCAGCCCCTCCTCAATTTTATTTTCTGGAGGCGGTGCGATCGGATTCACAGGTCATAGTCATCAAAATAATTCACCAGCCTATGGTGTGGCCATGGACAATGGAATGACTGAAAGTCCTTCTCCGTTCAGTAACTATCAATCCCGACCAAGGTTAGGACTCAGTCGACGAGAAAACTCTCCGCTCAGCGGATACAACAACTACGATACCGATAGGAACATGGTGCTCAATGAGTCTCCAGTCAAGCTTACACCTCTCCAGGAACAGGCCCACCTCGCTCTTGCAGCCATGACAAGATTTGCTGGTTCCATGGATGATTACTCTGCCTTTGATGACCCATACCTGGATGATAGTCTTTTCCCTCAACCTCATATCGATTACGCGGCGCATTTCGGGGACCTTGCGATGCAGGTTTTCAATCACAATCAAGCGCCGTCGTCTTGCCCCAGCTTCACAAGACAAAGCCCCGCCACGCATCGGTTCAATGGGCATGCGGGATTCTCGATTCGTCAGAACCAAGTACATAAATTGAACACAAATACCAATGAGATCATGGGCCGCAACGATCCTTTCACTCGAATGAGAAGCCACGAGGCTTCTGTGTCTTCGAAGGGCTCTTTTGAAGATTTCATTGGGTTGGATCTTCCATTTTAAGGATTCACCTGAAGATCGAGTGATTGGACCCCCGTAGCTATTGGCCTGTCGTTGTTGCAACTCGCCCCCTTCGAGCATATGATTACTCCCCGAGGGATTAAGGCAAAGCAAGGAGAAGCTTTCACTCTTAGACCTGCTTGGGCTTTTGCTTTTCTTTTTTTGATTTTTTTGCTGATGTTTATTTTTAGATGTCGATACATTTTGGCCCTTTGGCCTAACCACAATGCTTTTGAGATGGCTGCCCTTCCTATGTGCCTTTTTTTTGCCTGTTTTGCCTTGGTTCTTTGGCCTTCCTGCCTTTGGGCACAGTGCTGATGTTCGGGGCAGGGAGGGAACTTGTTCCTAACCTCCCCTATCATGACAGCGTTTTCTGGCCTTTCATTCTTTCAATCACCTGTATTTTTATCTATTTTTATTTCTTTTTAAAGAACCTTCCTCTCTTTGCTCTATTAGACATGCTAGTTTCACGGCCTTATGTTGTTCATGCTTTTCCCTTCCTTTTTTAGCCCCAGAAATCTACCCCCCAGTTTTGCTATGTATTTATGATTTTTTTTTTATCCTTACATAGATTTGAATGCCAGCAGGTCCTTAAATGCCTTGATTCTTCTACAACTCTCGTTATACTCTATTTCTATACATCCTTCCCCGGCCCTATATGAGCAGGATACTATCCAGAGAAGAAAAACCCGCCGCAACACCCCCCTCATCACTATCCCTCGCTTTAGTCCTCATCAACCACCCTCCTCGCTCATTATGCATGATCCTCCCACTCTCGTTATTCCACAATATCGTTCCAAAAATACCCAGTTCTCCAACAACATTACCCGTCAACACTTCCCCATCACTTCGCAACGCAACATTCTTCGCCGCGCCCGGCGGCTGGATGAGTTCCATCAGAATCCAACCTTTCCAGTCCCTTTCCGGCATTGAACGCAAAAAACCGGGGATCGCGTCGCGATAGACATTGTTTCCACCGCCTTCACGCTGCGGCTTAAGCACGTGGTTCGCTGCCGTGGACGGGTTGAGCGCGAGGTCTCGTCCCTGGCCGGGCGTCGAGATGTCGTATTGCGGGGCAAAAGTGTCGCGAAGTGCTTTGATGACCTGGGCATCGGAGCGGGGAAGGAATCGCGTCAAGTGGTCCGGTCTGGTGGGTTGGGCGAGGACTTGTTGGACTTTCTTGCATCCGGAGAGCTGGTTGAGCACGGTGGGGCATTTGATTGCCGCGGAGCGTTCGAGGTGGGTGCGTGTTTCCCAGGCGCGTTGGTCGGTGTAGTCGTTTGGGGCGTAGAAGCTGCGGAGGTAGATGGTGCTTGCTTCGAATTGGACGGAGGGAGCGTGTGGTGGGGTGTATATTAGCGGGCGAGAGGGGTTGGAGGCGGGGATGGATGTTAGTCGGAGAATGTCTGTGGTGATGACGCGGAATACGGGTATCTTGTGGAATTCGGTGAGACGGGTGGAGAGTTCGAGCTGGTCGAAGAGGTTTCGTTCGCCTTCCTGGACAACGAAGATGATACTCAGTGGTAGCGGGGGTGATGATCTGGAGCTTCCGTAGGCTTCGTGGGCGGCAGCAAGTCCGGCGGCCAGAGTGGCAACGGCGGTGTTTTCTGGAATGCGGTTTTCTTTCAAACATGGGTGTGGTGGGTATGCGATTGGATTTCCGGGTGGACAAGACAGGAGATGCGAGTGCATCTTGCTCACAAGACACGACAGTCCACCAAAGGACGAGGAGATCGTGTTGAACTCCACTTGCTTCAAGGACGGCTCGCTGCTCCCTTCTGGGGCATGAAGCATATAATCCGACCTGAAAAGGCCCAATGATAGTGGCTGGACGTAGCCCTCTTGCTTGACGGCCTTGTGTACTCTCCACAGATTGGCAACGAAATCATCAACATCGACAAGTCTATACAAAAACTATTTAGCAACGAAAATGATAAACCAAAATGGTTTAGAATAGAAAAAAAAATCTCTCACTCTTCGATTATCTCTCCTAGCCAAGCCTCATCCACAGTAATCGCAGCATACAATTCGTTATACACAGTCTGCACTGAAACCGCGGCTTCATAGCAAGACTGTGGAAACAGACTTGGAAACAGAGTCACCGGCGCATTGGTCGCCAAAACGCCATTGGGATCCGAAGAGCCTGACACAAACTCTGGAGACGGTCTAACAGCCAGCCCATGATGTATCGTCCAGTCTTTCACTAACGCTACGAGATTCTGCTTCTGCTCGGGGGAGAGCTCGGGCGGATATGTTGCAAATACTGATTCGTCCATGGAGACAGGTTTTGTTCTGGAACGGAACGATGGCCCCTAACTTGCACATAAGAGGAATGAACCAGATATATATAAAGATCTAAGCAATGAGAAAAGGACAGACACAGATCTATGGGCAATCGATGCGATGAAGCTTGCTCCAAAAGATGCAATTAATCAGCACCCCCCCCATGCTCGTTCCTAAGCACCGCCCACAAAGCATTTCCAGATCAAATTACTCTGTGGGATTCATATTTGAACGGGATATGAAAAATTGTAAGAATAATGAAATACTTCCAATTTGAGGTTGTGGGAGCAAAAAATGGCAAAATAAAAAAAAAATTAAATCATGAGCCGAACGCGGGGGTCGAACCCGCAGCCTTGTGGTTATCCTCGGTTCTTATGAACTTGCATAAGAGCCACACGCTCTACCGATTGAGCTAGCCCGGCTAATTGTATTAGTTTTCCCCTAAAAATATTAATATTCCACATTTATTTCATAGATCTGATGCGGCTCTTCTGAAATTCGAACCCTTTGCCATCTCGATCTTTTTGAACTTCAACTATGGAAAGATATATCATCTTATCTTTCAGCAACAGAATTTACTTCCTTAGTTAAGTAACTAACTTAACTAACTAGTTAATCTAGCTTGCACAGGAAGCAAATTGTCTTTTGCTTGTGGGAGGATGTTCTCAGTGATGCTGATGCTGATGCTACTGGACTGTTCTTCCTCAGAGTGCCTTCATTTGAATGGATATGTATTTCTGTGCTCGAAACACTATCAAAGCTTACAATTCAAGCAAACTTTCATATTTGTTACATCCATTTTCTATTTATCATTCTACTAAAAATGGGCTGATTATATTTTTTTGCATGAACTTGGAACTTTTATGTCCATGACAGCAATAGATGGTTGAATCCTAGATCTAAAGCACTTTTATACTAATGGATCAAAGCACCTTGCCGGGTTTGCTCACATCCTTTCAAAATGCTGTGGTGCACCATACTGGCCTGGATCATACTGATCTGCCCCCTGCCCTTGGACGTAATGCTGATCATACATGTTTTCAGCACTCTCCCGCGCATATGCTTTGGCTTCTTCCCTCTGTCGGGAATCCATCATCCGTTTCTCCGCGATTTTGTCGACCTCACCCCCAACGAACCCGGCTAACAGCTCTTTGGCAAATGCATGGGAGACGGGTTTTCCTACTCTCTATTAATGAACTGTGCGTCGATGCTTTTCAGAGTTTGGAATGTGGACTTGCCTTCTTTACGCTGATGATCCTCGAACAACTTGAAGCCTTCGAAGGAAGCTGCACCAGCTAGGAGCTCGTGAGAGAACTTTGGGTTTTGTTCGTCTCCGTAGACTTGCTTATGAGCATCATGGGATTCTCCTATTGAGCAATGACTCGGTCAAAAACCAGCTTTTCCGACGGACAGTGGGATAATAATATGAAACCTGCATACCCCAGCCGAACACCATTTTGAACAGCGATATCAACTGTTTGTCGGATATACAACAAGAAGTATTGAAGTGAGTTCGATATCGATGGGGGCAATAGAGAAGATGGTTTTGATACTGTCAGGAGCGGGATACTGACGACTATTTAACCACAAGGTCCTCTGGGAATCTGTATCAACGACGACGCGTGGCACGGCGATGGACGTTCGCTGTCTAGACCCTCAATTCCAATGTTAATTGGACCTACTCCGCATCGATGACGACGCATGGCGGGGAGATAGAAGCTAACTGTCCAGGTTCCCAACTCCGGTTTCATTCTTAGGCGTAGCCCGTATATACGGAATCCTAAATATGGTCTGAGGTCTACCCAATCAATTTCTGCTGCCAGTGGCCCGTGGTGAACTTTTCTACGTAGTAACTTTGTTACGCCCGATTGGATCCAATGCTCTCCGCTGCGTAGTATGTGTACCAGGTCTAACAAAGAAGACCACTTTCTGGAGGCTTATTGCGGTTGGGAATCAGTAGCTGTTGACTTTATATCCACAATACATACAGACTGTACACATAAATTGGCTTGCTGAAATGGAATGCTGGTTAATAGCAATCAAGCAACGGGATCGACTGAGGACAAGAAAGCTTGTTTCGATCATTGTATGCTTCAACTACACCATGCTGCAAGGCCTAAGTTAGAGAAATAGTAACATGATAGCTTCTTCTTTATGGCCAGAGTCGATTAAGTGGGTCTCAGGTACGAAGCTGGGACTCGAAGTGCCCGCTGTAGTGCCTAGTATCTATATACCTAGCCACTCTATCATAGGAAGATGCAGTCCTTTTGGCCTAGTAGTAGCAGGAGTGGCTCGCTTGCTAGCATCCTTTTACTGGGCTTAGACCAGCTTCATCTTAAGGATAGTACATGTGATGGAACACAGTACGCTGTTTTGATGAAGCCTCAAAAGCAAGTCTACGAAAAGGTCTAACCAACAAGAGTAGAGCCTTTACGTCTCGCACAAGAAAGCAACTGATCAAGGCCTAGGCTACCATACCTCAGGAGCAAAGATAATATCGAGTCTCTTTCTCCGCATCGTACTGAGTTTTTCTCTTGAGATTATGAGTCTGTATATCTCTATTTTGGCTGATTTCTCCTAATCTTTCCTCGCAAGTCCAATGGGCCAGTGGTTTTTCTCTAAGATCGTAATACTCCAAGACTTGATATGTCTACTGCGTAGAGTACCCCGCAGTGAATACCTCAAGGTCCAGACGAATTTCTTGGGCAGGTTCAATTCTTTTTAAGAGCAGTAGAGTAACTTTGTGTAAAGCACAGTCTTTAATCATAGTAATAACTGACAATTTACAACCTCTTCAGGTCGTCATCTGTTTGTGGTTGTGTGAACTGGTGTTGGTGGTGATGTTGTAAATTGATGATGAGGGGTAAATAAAGAGAATATTCTAGCTACACTAACCTAATAAGGATTAGCGTGTTATTCCCCACTTGTCATCACAGTACTAGCGGCATCCACCAAACTTAATACTGTGACTAATCAGACCACATGAATCTGGTGGACCATGCTCTCTTCTCAAAACATCAAACAACTGAGCAACCAGCTTCACAAGGATGGGGAGGAGTGGTAGCAAGCTTCTGATAGTGTGTTCCCAGCTTCCTACAGACTCTTATTGGTCTTTACTAACTAGCCTGTCTGTCTCGCTTCCTTCAATGACTGCTGACTTCAAACCCACGCGACTAGTCTCCACTGTCGTCTTCCACCAAACACGCGCAGTTCCCTCGCGTCTGCGGCCACCAGATTGACGGAAAGGTGCCAACTTGAAATGCCTTCGATTTAGCGCCCCTCAATTCAAGGAAAATTTGTTTCTGGGCAACATAATGGCGCAGGATTCCCTGGAGAGCCAGGACCCTTTCGACTGGTCAATTGAGGAGGTGGTCGCATACCTCTGTCATGCATCCTTCGACTCTTGGACGCGCTCCAAAATCTCCCCACCTCGTCCGAACCCTGATGTTTTAGAGAAAGCTTTACGCGAAAATGATGTTACGGGCCATGTTCTACTGACCGAAATCAATAAACAGACACTGATTGAGGACTTTGGACTGAAATCTTTAGGCCAGCGAGCAACGATTATTCAGGCTGTGCAGTATCTGCAAGGATTGTCCCAAAAATACAAAGAATATCACGACACGTCCATTCCGAGTTCGACGCCGTTCGCTCTCCCGCAAAATGGGCCGCAATTGCCAAGGGTCGCGCGTCCGAGCGTTCAACCCCAAGAACATTTTCAAAAAGCAGAGCCTTCAGCTTCTACCTTACCACACTTGAATGCTACTGCACTTATTGATATGCCCGCTCAAGGTATTGAAGATGAATCCTTGCAACCGCCAGTCACCAAATCAGCACCAGTTTCGAAGGACGACGCCCTGTCTTTAGCCCTAGCGCCATCGCTCCCGATGCAGAACAGCACCGACAGGCGTCATAAAGAACATTATGTGGTGAATAAGGATGGCAAGAAACGGCGCAAGCTGGATCCAGATGCTCTTATCACTCAGCCAGCGGAGCCTCAGCCACGTGGAAGACGCTATCTTGAAGCCAGAAGATCAACAGTCTCGGATATATTCTATAGTGGTACTATTGGTGCCGAAAACGAAAGCGACGAAGATACATTTTGCATGTTCGGAACTGCTTCATGCCCAACTGGTCATCAGCTCTTTGTAAACCAAAAGATGCGATACTCTCTACGACAGAGACCTCAGTATTTAAAGACCAAAGATGGTAAGCCCGTTATTGCTGTATTTCCGTACCGTGCCACACCTTTGTTGAATGGTGGTTCTCGGTTCTTTTCGTTGTTCGTTAAAAAGGGGAAAAAAGTCATCGCAACCAAGGAAGATATATTTGACTGGCCAGAGTTCGATCTTGGTGATGATAGGTTGCAGTATTTGCTTTCTAAATACCCACCCAAAGATGAAAATGATGCTTTACCAGTCTATGGTGACTCCGCATCTGAAGATGACTATGATTCCGAAACTTGGAATGAAATAGACCAAGAGAATCAGCAGAAAGAAGCCAATGACTCAACACAGTCAAAAATTTTGCCTCCAGAAGAGGTTGATGCTGTTATAGACAGTTGCATTGCCGAGTTCATTGACAAGTGGCAGCTTCAAAAACGCCCACTTGAGGACAGAAAAGCGAGAAGAATTTGGCTGCGTTCGAGCATGAACAGGACACAGTTGGCAGATATCAATACTGCTTCTACTAAAATCTCACACATGAACCACCGTTTGAAGGAGCTGCGCAAAGCTGTCAAGGTGACCCCGTGGTCTCGGGTTAAAGATGTACGGCTCCAGTGCCAATCTATGGAACAGACCGTATTTGAACTAGAACATCAAAAATGGGTTATTGCGACTTTAGAGCTCGAAAAATGCCCACCAAACTCCATCGACCGACCCAAAGTTTCCAAACCCTTGCGGCGGCCTCAACTGCTTGATGATGATGAAGAGTCATTAGGCTCTGATACCAGCAACGACGCCAACGACCCTGACGACTTCGTTGTACCGGATGATCAACCCGCTGACCATGACCGTGGAGTTGAGCCTGAGCTATTTCCGCCCTTTAACCCTGATATCGCGCCACCAGATGATGGCGACGACGTCCTTTCGCCGAGGAAGAAAGTAAAACTTCAGCGAGCACGTAGGGCTGCCAATAATAAGGAAGCCAAGACTGCGACTCCTACCTCTAACACGATATCACGCAATTCAGTCGGAATTGAAGTTGTGGATCTTACGATTAGTGACAACAACGAGGATGAAAAAAATGGGGACGATAATTCTAGAAGGGAGCGTTTCGATGTGCGTACTCCACCATTGAACCCATCTGAAGCTAGTCATCGACAAAATGCATCATCGTTACGTCTTGATGACTTGGAAGGTTCGACAAATACATCTGTGGCTTATGCGCCTCCAACAAACCTTGTTGATTTGGACCTCGA